CAGGAGTATTTTGCAGCTCTGTATGTTTTAGGTTCCCATCAAAACAGCAATATTAACCCACTGGAGAAAGGAAACCCACCAGCTTCCACACTGTTCCACTTGAATGAAGTTGCACTTGGAAGAGCCATCCAGAGCAGGACTGGTCACCTTGACCTGTTTGTCCGATTCTTTTTGGGGATGTTAATGAAGAACAACCAGGAGCTTTTGAAGGGATTCCTGTCACACACACAAGATCACTCCAGTGACATACTGAAAACAGCAGAACACATAAAAAAACTCATTGGAGGAACTTCCTCTCCTGAAAGATGCATGAACCTTTTCCACTGCCTGAGTGAACTGAAGGACAAGTCTTTAATGGACAAGTTCAATTTGACTCTGGATAAAGTAAAACATTCAGGACAAATTCTCTCACCTTCCCAGTGTTCAGCACTCGCCTATTTCTCACTGCTATCTGAGAAAGAGATTGATGTCTTTGACATGAGAGAATATGCTACATCAGAGGAGTGTGTACAGAGATTGCTACCTGTGGCAAAGAAAACAAAAACCCTAAGGTAAGTACCTCGGATTTCCTTCACATACAGTACAAGGGCCAAACTGTCCCTGTGAGGTCTGCTGGCTGGTACTCAGTAAACAGATATATTAATCTCGTGCTCTAGCACACTTTTTTATTTTTCAACATTAAATCCTATAATGAACTACTTTAACTTTTTTTAAATTAGTTATAATTGATTCTACAGTATAATGTGAAAATATAAAGCTACTGGCAGTTTACCATGTGAAAAGCTCACAATTCGAACTTCAGACAATCCAGCTGCAGGTGTCGGCCCAGCAGCTCACCACAAGCCTGACTCAACTCAATTGGCTTGCAGCCTGGAGCACACAGTCAGAGACGTGTTGGTCAGTGTCTCAGCGCTGAAGCAGCTCAGATTCAACAGCTGTCAAGACCAAGGTGACAGAGCTACAGAACTGTAATAGAAGACAGAGGCTATGGATTGTGGACTTGTCTGAGTCAATCAAGGGGTCTCATGTTACTATTCCTTCTCTGAGTTCTTTCTCTTTTTTTTGGAGCTTCTGGGGAAAGATCTACTTGAGCCCCCTGCTCTCATGTGCACAGTCCAGGGCCTCGCCCTGTCATCATGTGCTTTCACCTGTATGAAGTGAGGGAATCGGTGCTGATTTTTTCAGTTTATTTTATTGTCTAGTTTTTTAGTTATGTGGATATTGTTCATTACATTATATCACTCTCCTTCATTGGCTAGTGTATTTTATATTATACCTTATACTGAATTGCAATTAATCAAATTAATACAGTCAACTTTGTGAGCTGGAATGTTGAAGGCTTAAATCATCCAGTAAAATACTTTAAGAATGAATGACAGGTGAAGGTAAGAATTGCATTCCTTCCAAAAACTTCTTATGTCTGACCAATTTATGTCTGTGGGAATTGCACAAGTCAGACTTGCTACAGGCTGAAGCAGGCAAGGACTGTACAGAAGCAGCCACTATACCACACTGCGGTACACTGCCCACAGAAACGTCACTGGACAAAGAATATACAGTAGATAGCACTTAGAATGTGTTAGACATTAGGGAAAACATTACCTTTATTCAATCTGTTGTTAAATGCACCTAATGTAGAATATTAATATGGATTCATGTAATAAAAGGGACATTTTGGTAGCTGAAAATAACAAGTTTCTTAATGTTTTTGAAAATATTAATTTATTATTTTAATTTTTAATTTTAATTTTAATTATTTATATAGATGGTAGTGGTACCGTATTCTACGTTCTTCATGTGCATCGGCATGGAATTGTTTAACTCGGTGACTTGTGGTTATTTTGGAAATATTTTGATGTGCTTGTTTTAAATACATTTTGCTGTGGTTATTGTTGTAATGGAATTGAAAGGCTTGTGAACTGAGTGATGTTTTGGTTGAGTGGTAGAATCTTCACCTGAGAACCAGAAGCTCCAGGGATCAGGTCATGCCCAATACATCAGTGCTTTTAATGAATAGACTCTTTCTTCGATAGTAAAATGCATTAAGGTGTACTATATTGACTTATTATTTTTATATATCACAGTTAAACATTAAAATAGTAGACTAATAAATGAATAATGTAAGTTAGTTAGCAAAATGTGAATAATGTGAGTGAAAACTAGTTATACCATATGTTCAGAGAGAGAGTCACAGAATTTAAAGATGCCCTTAAACAGAAATCACAATTGAGGTTTTTAAATGCTTATTTGTTTTTAATATTAATTATTAAAGCCACTACACATAATATATTTTTAAATAAGTGATATCTAAATTAAGAGAGATGAATTAATAAGACAAAAATTACAAACTGTTTTAATGTTGTGCTACAATCTCTCTTGTTCCCCTTCTTCTCCACTTTGATTATGAGGACGCTGGAACCCCTTCAGAGTGAGAAATGTGGGAAAGTGGAGGAGTGTTGCAACAGGCAAAACATGAAAAAAGAGGATTTGATATTATGAGAATTTCAGTGAGACAGGTCATGCTGTAATATGTGTGCACAGTTTAAACTAAATAGCAGTTCTTTTCAGTGTAGCAACATGAACATGCTTAAACTTAAACAATATTTAACCAACAAATTTTAAATCTTTCAATACAGAAGTTATTAACCTATTCCATACTCACATGCGATTTGAGGAAGGGTGTTCCCAGCAGGTGTTCAATTAGCACCAGGAGTCTATTTCGCAAAGTGAGACTACTCAACCAGATAGCTTTAGTAAATTGACAAAAGTCTGTACTTTCAGGTTTCATACAGCAAGATTAAATTGTATTTGGTTAAGTACTGTAACTGCAATAGCACCTGGAATTCATGTATGAACTGGCTTCATCACTATGTTCTCCTTCCCACTGATAGCTGATGTGTGGCGAGCATTTTAGGGGAGCTGAATACTGTCACTTTGGCTACCTTTGCATTATCAAGTGGTTGCTACACACTGGTCCTGGTGGAGGATAGTCTCCATTATCTGTAAGTGCTTTGAGTGGAGTGTCCCTACTGCAGTTCAGTCCGTTTTGAAACTCTTAAGATGTATCAGTTTGCTTCCATTCATACTGTAGGTAATTTGCTTTTCCTGCGGGAAAAATGTGGAAGAGCAGGAGAGGAAGCATGAGAAAGGTGCAGTCCACTGCTGTAAGTCATAGAAATGTTAGTCAGTCAAATACAATGTTATTTTAAGCCATTGTGTCTAATATATTTTTATAATGAAAATCTTTAACTCATTCTCTAATAATGTCAACAGAGTACACATTAAATATTATTTTTATTTGTTTTATATATCAGTCTGTTAAATATTCACATTACATTCACAATCTCTTAAGCCTTTTGCAGATGGCTGCCAAGTTTTACTCTATTGTGTCACTAGTTGTACTGATGATGTGAATGATACAGCTCTGTGAAAGTTGCCCCCCCCCCCCCCCAAATGAAACAAACGATGAAACCCACCACGTTTGTTAATGCTCTGTTAGTGCTGTTTTGTGCCACTGAATGTAGTGTTTGTGATGTTTTCGTTTTCAAGATATAGCACCTTTTCCATGGGTGTGATGTCACTCAGCTCCCCTAAAATGCTGCAAGGAACAGGTCTTATTGATTAGTGCTGTGTTTGTGCCATTGAAAGTAGCTTTCTAGCTGCTTTCATCCCCAAGACATAGTGCCTTAATTTTGGGTAATTATATGACTATGTATGACAATCTTGAGTGGTAGCAACATTCTGGGCAGTTCAGGTGCTGAATTACTGATTGAGAGTATAACAATGTTTGTAATTTTCTGTCTGTCTGGCCTTTGACGGATATTTTGCATTTGAATACCAGTATTTTCTTTGTGTCTATGTGAAAAGTAAATTTAAATAATCTCCAGTATCATACTATAACCGCAAGAGTTGTCATTTCAGCCTAAAAAGCAAATGTTAACAATTGCATTTTCTAAAAAAATAGCTTTAACTGTCATGTCATAATACTTTGTAGCTGTCAGTGTCAGTATTTCTTTAAACCGAAGAAGTAATCAGTTTTTCATTGTTTCCTTTTTAAATAGGCAATTCAAAAAACATCTAAATGTTTCAACTCGTCTTTTGATTTATGTATTTAAAAAAGTTACAATGAGCAACTTCCCCCATTAAAAGACCATTGTTGTACTTTCTGTAGTATTTAAAGCAAATACATAAATGTGGAATAGTACCAGGAAACTGGATTATATATTTTTGTATGATCACTTTATGTACTACGTTAAATAGCACTGGAAAGACTACCACATCATATATATAGACTACTAATACTTGAAAATATTTTTGTTAATTAAAGAACATTTGA